TTTTCAATATAATAAATCCTTTACTTACCAAACTTGTCAACTTTGTCAATATCAGCTGAATTTTGGCATCGTTCCATCACCCCCCCTGCTCCCCCCCCCCCCCCTCCCTCAAAAATTTGCCTTACCGACTATTCTAGCTAGTCTCTGATTTCAGCTTTGATCACCTTTATGCGATTTTCAAATGCTAGAAATTTCTCTGTGGTGATTCAACATTTTTGTTCAAGATCTTTCCCGCAAATAGTGTACTCCCTTATTTCCATGAAGTTTGCTGAAATCTGACTATTAGTTTTGTTGTTTAAGTCCCGTTGTGATTTCATGAAGGCCTCGAACTCTTCATAAAGGACATCATGGTCAGTTGTATATTTCAGACTAATACTCTTAGCACTTTCAGAGTTCGATATTGATTTGTTTGGAAGATCTTGTGACCTGCTTCCGTTTTCGACGATATTCCGAATTTTAGTGATGTGGCTGCATTTGCTTGAGGGCAATCCCCCTTCAATTCAATCCATCAAAGTAAGTGCATAAAGGTTCTGGGGAAACCACCTACCCATCCCTAAGGCCAACGTTTATCACTATCTTCTCACTAAAAAGGCCTCTTTAGCGCAAAGTGTATTCAGTGTTTATGGGAGGGGAGGCTGCAGCTTCCCCAGAATTTTACTCGCCATTGCCAGTCTTTCTTGATTCTTTTAAAGCTTTGATTTTATTGCTCATGAGTTCAATGTCTTTTTCAAAGTTCTCGCGCAGCAACTTTAGCAAGCTTGCTACCTCATCATATTTGAAGTCCCGTGACCAGAGGCTATAGTCTGGTAAGTCAAGATCGTCAGTCATTCTTTTAAGTCCATTTTCCTCAAAAATATCTCTTGCATTCTTAACAATCTCCTCAGCTTCTTCCCGAGTAAACCTATCACCATTGAATGAATTACTAGTAAATATCGTGTAGTTCTTTCTTTTGAAGTAAGAACTAAAAAATTGAAATTCCTCCCCTGGCGCTAATTTTTCAAGAAGAGCTTGAATGTAGATACCACAGAAAATGGAACCTACATCAACATGTATTACTCTCATCATCCATTCAAGACCTGTTGGAATAGGAGGACGTTCTTTCTTTTTCGTGTTACAAACGGATTCCTTCAGAACCTCTCTAATCTGATCACAAAAAATATCTCGAAGTGCACTGTGCAAGAATCTTGCCAATGTCGTCTTACGGCGAGCTAACGTCAGTAAACTTGTAAGAGATTGAACACAACCCTCAAAACAATATTGGCTGGCAGTTCGTAAGGATGATAAACTTTTCAAAATGATGGCCACCCTGTTGATGGCATCAGACCGGAGAACATCACGAGATTCCCAAGTCAGGGAGAGAACATGGTAGTCTTCATACCAAAAGCTTCTTATCCCTTCATTTTGCTTTAAGAAATCAAGAAGAACAGTAAATATGTTCACAATACGTTGAGTGAGGTTGCTCCCAGTCCACTGCTCGTCTTCTGGGTTTTCACTCCATTCAAACAAAACAAGAGATTTGAGGGTGTATGATGAAATAAATTCGGCTGGTTCTGTATCACTAAACAAAGAGATAACTCTCTCATGCCCCTTAGAATTAATTTCCTCGTCATTGTTAATAAATTCCCGTACATTCTGGTCAACAGATTTACTTTTATCAAAGGTGTCCATGGGTTGGCATAGATGGCATTTACCAGAGAACAGGCCAGCATGCAGATGGCCATGCTGATCAAATTTGCGAGTCATGTCACGCAACACCTTGAGCACCCTGAGACAGACACTTGGTCCACCGTCAGGACCAAAATGATCACGGAAGAGTGACTGTTCGAGGCAAGACTGAGAAATACGTAAAAGGCAATCAGATTGATCGGTTATTGATATTGGTAAGCCTAAACCTTCTTCTCTACGTTTTTGCACCTCTTTGAATAAGTTTGGTACTGAAAGTGTGCGTTCCTTGTATCCGTTTATTGCAAAGTAGTATGGTAAAGTATGTAACAAAGACGACACAACGCTTCCGGCTCGAGATTCAAGATCTACTTCCATAGTTGAAGAATGAGAGTTAATCTTCACTGCTAAAACCAAATCAACAGCGATGTTTAATCCTTTGTATAGTTTCCCTCCAGTCCATTTGAGGTGTAAAGTATAAGCAGGGCCATGTCTACGCGTTGTGTCTGAAAGGACTTGCAGATCGAACGCTTCAAACCCCCTGGCCAACTTACTGTGCAATGCTCCGAAAAACGGCCTCTTTATCGTTTCTCTCCAGTCAAAAGAACAAAGGCTAGGATTCACCTTTAAAAGCTTTTCGAAAGCTGATTCGCTTGGAATCACTGTAACTACACTATGTGCTAACTCCTCAAAACGAATATCTTCGGGTTGAGAGAAGTTATCCAACTGAACAAAATAGTCGAACTCGTCGGGTTTTCCGACTTTCGTTCCTTCGTAGAAGCTTCCACTTTTAATAAGTGTTGTTTTGTAGAATGGATGGTCTTTCTCTACTTTCTCAAGAAGAGTTTTAAGAAAGCTTTCAACACTGGTTTGAATTTCAGTGACCTCTTGACAACAAGATAGCTTGCCTTTTCGTTCATCCAGGTCTCGTATGAAGTGATCCAAATGCGACGGGGACGTCGTGGCAGCTGTATTTCTATCAGAAGTTTCTGGAGTGTTTGACTCATTCTTTCTTCTTGTCGGCGGACACACATTAAGTTCTCTTAATTCCTTTTGTAAGCTTTGCATGTCTTCGATATTGACTGAGGCGCTACGTTGCTCCTACAAAGTACAAAGGGAACCTTATAATTGGGATGTGGCGGCGTTCCAACCGGGTCGAATTTCTTTTGTTTCGGAACAGCCTCACAACAGTCAGCCACAACAGTCAGCCACAATCGAACGTGTCACACCAGGGCGTTCCGAGTTCACGTTACGAGTGTGTTATGTAACGGAGTCAGTGTCGCGTTACAAGCGACCGTTGAGACGTATGGGAAATAAACACTTAGCTGCTTTAATATTATGAAGAGAGTGACAGGGGTCACACAACAGCCCAAAAAACCGACTAAATCGATGAATTCACACCAAAAAACACAGGAATACATCAAAGTCAAGTCTCCTTTATTCATTTTATAGAAAAAAGTAAAAATAATGATATTTAGAGTTCGCAGACATCAGTATTCTATTTCTCATACAACGTATCAACGATCGCTTATAACGCGACACAGATTCTCTTGTGAGAAAGTAAATTTACTTATAACCACAGGTAGCCCAAGCTCGAAATATGAGCATCGTCGAACGTCGGCATTGTTGCGTAACATTCCAAATATAAGGATTTGTATGGGAAGAAAACCCATCGTTTCTGTAACCTACGAAAATGAAAGATTTCAATAAAAAACAGCTAACCTTACTTAAAATGTGTTTTACGTCTCTCCTGCGTGGTCCACGTGCTGATTTATGGCCGTTTTATGGGTTTTTATATAAACGGTTTTCTCTCTATATCATAGGTATAAGACGTATAAAGTAAACCTTTATATAGAGAGAACAGCTTGAGACACCTGTAGTCACACAATAATCATGATCCCACTTATGGAAAGTTTGGGAAGAGGTCTGCCACTGGTTAAGTCTGACCCTGACCCTGTTTTATGCATTCATTTCAACCCTGTTTAGACAAGAGACCATTTCATTTTTTTCATTTCATTTCATTTTGCATACAGAATTAAGCTAACATGATAGGGTTAGCCTAACTATGGTTATCTATTATATTTTAAGATTTACAATAGCTCGATCTGCCATCGATTTTTGTATGTATAATTCTGTTCATATTTTGTTGTAACAATTTAACTGAGGGAGCCCATTCCTTATAAGCCCGGTGGTTTCCCTTGGGCTTCATCGCCCTTAGCTTTTTAACAATTTGATTTTCTTCTTTTTGTACATGTTTCTTATGGGAAAACAATACTGAACTGAATCAGATTGTTTTAAAAAATGGTTGATATATAGTACAATTTGACAGGGCAATGCCAGCTTTCCGAACCTGTTGAATTAAGGCTTCCGTTGAAAAAGTTGCTTAAGACGATAACTTGAACCCTCAAAGGAATCGAAAACGTTCGTGTTATCAGGAGTTCCAGTTATCGGGAGTTCAAAGCAAAAGAAACAAGACGCTGTGCTAGCGTATATTTGGGCGTCGTTGTATCACGCGTATGTGAAGTTTTTAAGTACATTATAATAATAATAATAATAATAATAATAATAATAATAATAACTTTATTTTAGTGTCAATGTATTTAGCTTAACAGTTAGCTAATTGGGGACACTTTCCTGAGTACTGGCACTAATCTATTACATGATTTTTAAATTAATGATCTTACCTAAAACCTAAAACTATATACAAATGTACACGACTCAGAATATACACAGGTCACAGCAGTTACTATTATTATCTATATGACTCGAAAGTTCCACACCGCGTATGTAGTGTTTCTTGAAGGCGGCTTTGAGGCTTGTTCAAGGTTTCCTAGCTCACCACTGACCTTCGACCAGGGATGTGTGACCACTGCATTAGCGTTGTATACTTTAAGGCTTGGTTGAGATGTGTGAATTGGAAGGCGTGCATTGGTACGATAATGGCTTTAGTTTGTTAATCAGTAAAGCTGGTTTCTCACAGAATTTGATACGAAGTAACAACGGATATTTTTTGGAAGGTAAAAGTGATTTTAGGTGTTGCAGTGATGAGGTAGTTGTGGGAGTGCTAATTTTTGTTAGGAAGGGATCGTGCAGTTACAGTCTGTTGAAATGAAGTCATGGTGGTTGTGAAAGATTTTATTAATTGTCGAAAACATACTTGTACTTATTTTAAATGTTGTTAGACTTTTTTTAGGATTGTCTCTCAGCTAGTTTTTATAATATTGGTATTGAGAGAACGTGGATAAGGGGAAGTTCATTTAATTTGGATAAGGGGCTATGAAGATGTTTGGGGGTGTGTGGAAGGGGGGGCTTAAAATTTTGGATGTGTGGGTTCTAAGAGCTTTGAAAATCGGTGAGGTCAAGGGGGAGAGGCGTAAAATCTGGCAATAAAACTAGGGGCCTGATTTCATGAGCCGGGCTGGCTCCCTTCGCAGAGATCTCGTTACCTTAGTTGAACGCAACAAAAATCAACTTTGCGATTACATGACAGCCGAGCCAGTCTGGTTAGCTGGGATCCCAGTATTGTGATGCCAGGATCTCGGCTGGAAATTTCCAAGTTATCACGCTTGCCAGGTAGCCTAACGAATGAATCAAGCGAGAAACATGCACACTGCTTCCAATCTCTGTGTTGTGAACATTTTTTATATAATTTATGTTAATTTATTGATGTCTGCGTAATATTGTAGTCACGTGATCTTTATTGCACCATCAAGTAACCCGAGACGCGGGAATATTTTTTTGTCAGTAAGCATTTTTTCGATTTCGACTATTAAACATGATCAGTTGTGTTTACTAAATGGCGCCCAACGTGGGGCGGATTTTCGATCGCAATGCCTCCCAAAAAGGGTAAACCGAAGTCAAAAACACACAAGATATCAAGTACATCGAGTATGCAAGCGAATACATCGAATTTGGAACGACTGCGAGTTATACGTGAAGGACACCGACGATATGTATCGAAACTGGATCAAGAATTCACCGAAATGTTGCAAAGCGAAGACAAGGATTACGAACGGCTCAATGTTATGAGACAACTCTTGGATGGAAAACAAGAGTCGCTTAGCGAAATGGACCAAGAGATATTATCTTTATGCGAAGTTACAACGATTGATAAAGAAATCGAAGAGTCAGAAGAATTTACTGCCTCAATTATACGTCTAAAATGCAAAATCGAGAATGCGAGCAAGGTGAACATGCCAACCCAGCAACACGTGGGATCTCCTCAAACGACATCACAGCCAGTGAATCAAAATGCAGTCCGTGCAAGATTACCGAAGTTGTACCTGCCGAAGTTTAGAGGAGATGTGACCAAGTGGAATACCTTCTGGGATTCATTTCAATCGGCGGTTCATCGTAACGAAGGGATTTCCAACATCGATAAGTTCAACTACCTCAATTCTGTCCTTGAAGGGGCCGCCGCTCGAGCTATTCAGGGTCTTACCTTAACCGAAGCGAACTACAACGCAGCAGTCAAATTATTACAAGAACGTTTCGGGCGTCCCCAACAAATTATCAGCGCACATATGGATCAGCTCCTCAAGGTTTCGCCGTGTTCTAATGATCGCCCAGCCAGTCTTCGATACGTCTACGATCAAATTTGTGTTCATTCCCGCGGTTTGGCATCGCTCGGCGTAACTTCAGATCAATACGGAAGTCTTTTAATTCCTGTTATTATGTCAAAGTTGCCATCTGAGATTCGATTGCAGATAGCCAGGAACTCTAAGGATTCTGTATGGAAAATGGAGGAGTTGCTAAACGTGATAAAGGTTGAAGTCGAAGCGCGGGAAGCAAGCGAGATGACCATGGCGAAAACAAGCGAAGGCGGGAAAGTTCAACCACCCGGCCGTGATTCAAAGTTTCGAAATCAAACGCCAACCGCGAATTCACTCGTCTCTCAGCAAAGTGGGAACTTCAAAATCAAATGTGCCTATTGTCAAAACGAGCATTACTCTGCATCATGTGGTGTGGTAAAAGATACCGCTCAACGAAGAAGTATTTTGGAAAGGGATAAACGATGCTTCAATTGTTTGCGTTTTGATCACTGTGCGAAAGACTGCACGAATCCAAAAAAATGCCGACACTGCCAGCAGCGGCATCATCAGTCGATTTGTTCAATGCTTGACCAAGGGAAACCGAAACCAAAAGAAGTTTCAGCCGAAGAGACAACGACAACAACAACAGTGAGCAACAAGGCAAAGGGAACTGTGCTCTTACAAACAGCGAAAGCCATGGCTGTCAATGTTGTCAGTTCTAAAGCCGCACCAGTTAGAATACTTTTGGATACCGGAAGTCAACGCACCTACATCACAACCAGATTGAAATCGAGGCTTAATCTGACCCCTGTCAAGTCAGAAACATTGCATCTTAACACCTTTGGAGACGAAAGATATACGAAGCAACAATGTGATGTTGTGAACTTGCGGTTGCAAGGATCTCAAGGAGAAATCAAGATATCTGCACTATGTTTCCCGAAGATTTGCTCGGCGGTGTCAGCTAAAGTTAACATCGACAATCACGTACATCTGCAAGGTCTCGAGCTTGCTGACATGAGCATTGCTGAAACAGGTCAACAGGACATAGATGTGCTAATTGGATCTGATTATTATTTCGATATTGTGTCTGGGGATGTCATTCGTGGCTGCAGTGGTCCCGTAGCAGTTAGCAGCATGTTCGGATGGGTCTTGTCTGGTCCCACAAGTGCTGAAGAATCAAGAGAGAAGTTTGCAACTACAAATCTCATCATAGAGAGGCCGGAATTGATGACCTTGAGCCCATTTGACATCAGTCATAGTGAGAACGATGAGTTATGTAATGCCTTGCAAAAATTCTGGGACATTGAGTCATTAGGAGTACGAGAGAAGCCACCCGTGTCACAGTCAGATAGTGGAGAGTTCCTGGAGAGTATTCATTTCAATGAGAATGAAGGAAGATACGAAGTTGGTCTGCCTTGGAAGGAAGGCCTTGTTCCTGCTTCAAACGAGTACGAATTGTGTGTTACAAGATTGAGACAGCTTCACTCGCGACTGAAGAAAAACAAGGAACTATTGAGAGATTATGACAATGTGATCAAGGATCAAGTCAAATCCGGGATAATCGAAGCC